CCCCCCCCCCCCCCCCCTTCCATTTCTCTCTCCCTGGTGCGTGTCTCTGTCGCCATCTAGTGGCAGTCCGGTGTTGGTGGCAGACCGGAGCGGAAGGTCTGCATCTCAAGGAGGCTGTTTGTCTAGCAGCAACCACCCAGGTGCGTGCTGTCCAGATATGCTGCTCTGTGGGGTCTTCAAATGAGAAATTTTAATTTGAGGTTCTTTTTATCAAGGTAAATTAAAATAGAATTATTTCTATTGGACTAAACTGACTCAGTATTTGTACTTGAGTAACTACTGATTCTGATGCAGTCTTTAGCAGCATGGATTTCGTACTTTTGAGTTTCCAGACTGCATTCCTTGTTTTATAATCTACTAAAAGACAAAAAATATGTATTTCTGTAAAATAAATTGCTTTATTTGTTATACACATCAAAACCCAGGTTTCTAGTCCAACACATTAACTTCTTTCTTTGTTTTTGACAGTTTAAATACCTACAGAACAAAAAAAAAATGCAATTTTACAACATTTTTGTCCTCTCCAATCTCTCAAATCAAAGTCTGAATCCGTGGTTCTGGTCTAGACATCAAAGCATCAGCACTTAAAATCTTTGACATTTTTAACACATACACACTATTTTCTTTAGCTCTTTTTTGTAATATTTAATACATACACGTTTCTGTCCTCGCTGTGTGACGTTAAACCAGACCAAACTTGTCTTGTTTCAGCTCAGTTAGAGTTACCAGTGCATGTGAACTTCTGGTTTCGACAAAATAACGGCTTATCATTGTACTTGATATCTGACTCTTTTTGAGCTTTTACCACATTCCCTGAACATATTATCAGACTTTTGTCCGACAGCTGTGGTTGACATCTGTGTACAGCTTAGAAATGAAGCACTGCGATTGGCTGAGTGTCTTAGCATCCCAACCGTATAAAGAGAGATGTTTGTTGTTGTTGTTGTTGCAAAGCCCACAGAAGCCAGATCTCTGTGGAATCTGTAACCAGTCATAGCAAAGCAAAGAAACAAAGCAAATATCTTGTTTTCCTCGGTCAGAGTTCACAAACTTCCTATTTCATGTAGGATAATCTGCTCCACATTTAATATGCTACAAAAACAAAAAATCTTACCAAGTAATTTTGGTTTAGTTTCTAGTCCAAATATCTAAATACACTTGAATTAAGGTAAAACTAACTTATAAGTGTCTTTTCAGCAAGACATCAGTTTGTTTTAAGTCAATAATTACTTAATATTGATGAAAAAGTACTTTTTTTCTTCTATATTTTCTATTTGCACAATAAAGCTTCTTGGGAGGGAAAAAACAGAGCGAAGGTGAGGAAAGGAAACGTAGATACTGCATAAACGGCCTTCACATATTTCAAAATATGATCATAAATATAAACATCTGACTTCTTAAGACTTAGTTGTTAAGACAAATGTCAAACTTTATTCAAGTGAAAATTTTGAAAACAGCCAAGTAAGTTAGTGCTTTGGAATTTATCCGGAAAAATTAATTGAGGGGAAGCTAACTGCGCAAAGCATTTTCAAAGTTAGCAAAAGCGCTACTGCGCTACACGAAAAAATGAGGTGTGTTCTCAGCTCATAAGCGGAAGTGTGCCACACTGTTCACTTCATCTAAAACTGCTCCCTGGTACTGAAAACGCCCATCTTTGAGGCATCTTCACTCAGTAACAACTTCCACACTGAGGAGTGTTACTGTTAGACCCACCTGGTAGTAGCATGGTGCATTCAGTGGTTTAATATGCATGCTATATATTTTAATTACAGTGAGCAAAACAAAAAAACAAACAAACAGATTTTTCAGTTTGATTTTTCAGATTCATTCACCTGTTCGTCTTACACATCTGCTCTGTTTACGTTTCTGAATGTGGCTTTTAAAAACAATGGTGACAAATGAGTTTATTACTGAACAGACTGCATTGTTGTTTGAAATATTATCGATGTTCAACTAAGAACCGATCAACATCCGGTTCTTAGTTGAACTACTGTGAATCTGGAGTTTTGAAAGCTAAAGTCAGTCTGTGCGTTTCAGGCCTGTTCAAGCTTGAAAGTCCTCTGCTGCAGCACCGCCTGCAGCAGCACAGGAAGACTGACGACACATCCAGTGGACATGCACAAGTAAATAACCCCTTGTTGTTCTTACATCTTGCTATTATTTAGGTTTGATGTGTTTTTTAATGCTAAAGAACAAAGAAAAATTGTAGTTTTATTATGATGCAACCCAAATGTAAACAGATTCTTTGCATGTTGTTTTAGTCATGTTTTTAGCTTCATCTGTGTCTAATCATCTAGCTTTTTCTTTGCCATTCTGACTCAAATGTTTTCATTCCACAAAGGGAGTAAAAGCTGTTCTGGGGCGACGTAACAAGGCCACTGAGTACTCCTCGTCCAGCGACGAGTTTGGCAGCAGCGACGATGAGGAAAGAACCAGGTGAAAGGCTGCAGGATTTGATATTTCTGAGAAGGTTTAACCTCAAGAAGTGCCATCTATGACTTTTTTGGAGTACCTGAAAATAATTTTCCCTTCCTGAAAGTTGGATGATTTAATTGTTGATCATGTTTCGATTGATTCATTTAACCACATCCTTTCATGTGGTTCTGAAATGCCCACCTCTGCCCTTCAAGGTCCGGCCTGTCCAATGGAAAAGGGAAGTACTTCAGAGGAATCCCCGACGGCATCGTCCTGCAACCCCACCACAATCTTAACCAGGTACCTACAAACACAACGATGAACTCCCTTTTCTAGGATTATCCAGCCTCTTGACGTTCTTCTCGGTTCCACAGATGTCCCGGTTGGGTTCGGACGACACCTACCTGCTGCCGGACCTCCTGCAGAAAACCTCCAGTCCGGCGCACAACGCTCTGAGCCAGCACCGCACACGAGAACTGAACTACTCGCTTTCACCCACGGCTCCCGGATCCCCGACTCTGCAGGATCTGCATGTGAGCTCAGTCAGACGAAACCAAAAGGTGGCTCTGAAGTGCAAACCACATCAACTAACCACTGCAAATTGAAAAAAACACAACAACATGTTCAAAAACACATTAAGCACAGCTACAAGTTAAGAAGACACTGAAGAGGTAGGTCTCAGTGGGAAATCTAAGACATCACTGATGAATGACGGAGCTTTTGGTTTTAGAACCCAAAGTTATTCTTTCTTTAGCACTTTTGTTGAAAATTTGTTGCCAGTGATGCAAATGCAACTAACATATCCAAGAATAATTTGAGTCGGGACAAACTACAGAGCTCAGCTTCGTTCTTTTTCACAGTTTGGACAGTACATAGCACTGTGGCCGTCTTTGCTCATCTAAACAGGGAGAGCAAATGCCAGAAAAACTGAATTTGTTCTCTCCCACTTTCCCACTAAGACCTGCCTCTTCCATTTTGCTAATGTTGTGTTTTCTTAATTTGTAGCTGTGCTTAGTTAATGTTGTTGTGCTCTTCAATTTGTAGTTAAACTTAGTGAATTGTTGAAGTGGATTGCACTTAAGGGCCACCGTATTTCCCTGGCAAATTTTTATTCTATATTTTTTGCCATTCATTTATCGTGGAGTAAATGGATAAATAACACCAGTGGGAACTGGGTGGCAGATGACACTGTTGTCTGATTCTGATAGATGTGAGAAGTACTAAATGTTTGGGAGTTTATTTGGTATTTGAATTACACAATCTGTGGCATCACTCCATTTATCCACCAGAGGGCGGTAGTGGTGTAGTAATACCAATTCAGTAATGACAAAAGTTGTCCACATTTTTCTGTGGTGTTATCGTTGTTGAATCAATGTAACTGTATTTATCTTGACCTCAAATTATCTTTGTTTCTTTTAAAAAAAGAATAAAAAAAGAAATGATATCAACAGAATAGGAAGCAGAAAATAATAGAATTTACTTCTTGCCTTTGAAGTCATGGGTAGTTTGTATCTAACCTAAACAGTCCAAGAGATTCACAATATGAATGTGCTGCTGTTCTGACCAGGCTGTTAGCAGTCCGTCTGGAAAAAGCACCTGCTCTTCTTCCTCTTTGTCCTTCATCGACCCAAGACTGATCCCCATATCATCCCCTCCACAGAGTCCAAGTAAGTGTTTATACGTACCGGTGAAACCAGACGTTTACGTACACTAAATAAAAAGACACATACAGTTTAGAAGTTAAATCAGACCAAACGTCTATTGTTTAAGGTCAGATAGGATGACCTAAATTATTTCTGTTTGCTAAATAACACAATAATATATGGAAAGAGAACATATGAGTTCTTTATTGATGTCCTCACAATCCGATGTTTCCAGACATTTCCTCAGTGTTTGGTAGCGTTGCCTTTGACCGGTAGCACTTGGGTCAGACATCTTGGGTTCCTTTCGCAAGTTGCTCACAATAGTTTGCTGGAGTTCTGGCCCATTCCTGCTGTATCCTTTGAGTTACTGTCCATTTGCAAGTCCCATTCAGCGGTGGGCACACTTAAGCTAATGTGCTACCAGCCTTCGTTCTAGCTAACTTTGAAAACATTTAGTGCGCTAAGTTTCCCCTTAGTTAGCTTTTCCAGCTAAATTATAAAGCTTTATTCAAACTTTCAGTTGAATAATGTTTGACAGATGTCACATGTTCAGAATTGTTCAAATAGTTAATCATTTATATTTCTGCTCTTATTTTAAAGTGGGTAAAGACTGTTTGTCTTAACTTGATTTCAACAGGAAACTTACAGGGACAAAATAAAACATGGACAGTAGAGACCAAGATACAAACATCAATACAACATGTAGGGGCATTATATGTAAATTAAAATGTCAAAATTAAATTGGTGTTTGAGGTTTGTAGCCTCTCAAGGGCATGTTAAATTTGAATTGAAGTTAGTGCTTTATCATTAGCTTCTGCTAAGCACTGTTATCTTAGTGCTTTACTGTTAGTGAAGCTAAGGTTTATGATTAGTGCTTTAGGGTTAGCCCAGCTAACTTTTCAGTGAGCGGTGCTCACTGCTGAACCCATTTACACCTGAACTTTAACTTCCTGGCTGAAATCCTGAGATGTTGCGTCAATATTTCCTCATAATGTTCTTTCCTCATGATGCCATCTCTTTTAAGAAGTGCACCAGTTCCTCCTGCAGCAAAAAAGCCTCACAACATGATGCTGCCGCCCCCATACTGGTGTCACCAGGCTTACAAGCATCCACATTTTGTCCACACAGTTCCACTTTAGTTTCATCTAAAATGAATATCTTTGTCGCTGATCGGCCTTTCTGGCTATGTCGGTATAGGAAACGTTTTACTGTATAGCCTGCATTTCCACTTTTTAAATTTTCTCCCCCTACAGAAACTTCTGTCAGTTTTGTTGCAGCATTAATTATGCATTATGTGTCGGTTGTAACCTAAAAAGTCTTCAAGGGGAATGAATATATATATATATATATATATATATATATATATATATATATATATATATATATATTTTAAATGACAAAAGTCACTGGATATGGAATATTAGATATTTGTGTAAACATTTAAAAAAGAGTGAAACTCAGGTGTATGTTTCATGTCTGATTGTGCAGCAGGTATGAAGGGTGAGCCGCTAAAGAGGGAATTTCACAGAAAGGGCTCAGTGGTGAACGTCAACCCCACCAACATTCGACCGCAGAGCGACACTCCGGAGATCCGCAAATACAAGAAGAAATTCAACGCTGAGGTCCTGTGTGCCGGACTTTGGGGTTTGTAGCTTTGCTGCTTTTTAATATACTGAATATGCAATTCTGTGCTTTTATGGGACAAACCTATCTTTAATTTAGCCTCTTCCACTTTTTTCCTTTGCTTTGTTCACCATCTGTTAATCACGGGACCACTCTCGTGACCGTGCACACGCTGAACAATGTGTGTGTTGGGTCCTGCAGGTGTGAACCTGTTAGTGGGGACGGAAAATGGCCTGTGGCTGCTGGATCGGAGCGGCCAAGGGAAGGTCTACTCGCTCATCAGCAGACGAAGGTTTCAGCAGATGGATGTACTGGAGGGACTTAATGTCCTGATTACGATATCAGGTATGCCAGACTGATTGTCAGAGAACGACGGCGCTATGTAATTAGAAGTGCTACTGTTCAACACACGTTGAACACATACCCGTTTCTGCAGGACGTGTTGACGTTGTTTTCTGCCTCTTTGTGACTCCATCTTTTAAACCGTGCAGGCAAAAAGAACAAGCTGCGTCTGTACTACCTGTCCTGGTTAAGGAACAAGATTCTCCATAACGACCCAGACGTGGAGAAGAGGCAGGGCTGGACCTCAGTAGGTGACTTGGAGGGCTGCGTTCACTATAAAGTGGGTAAGTGAACACTGCAGTGACATGTTGAGGGGAAACATGCCCATATATGGAGGTCCCCCACCATGTGGAACTCCAAAAAAAAGAGCTGTAAAAATATTTAAAAGCACTCTAAATGGAAGAAAATGAAAAATGTCTTTATTTTTCATACATTTGTTTGTTTATAAAGCACTCAAAGACACTGCGCAGCAATAAAGAACAATAATAATAGGAAAAATTAGACATTTAAAGCCATAAAATTTTTAGTTTATGTGGCAATTTTAACTAAAACAATTCTGACTAATGTGTTGCGACCAATATTAATCGTCTCTAGCTACAAGTCTGTAAGTTATCTTGCAAAATCAAAGCAACATTATTGTGAACTAAAACCAAAAAATAAAAAATTAAATTGACCAAAAAAATAAATAAAGCTAATAAAACATAATTTTTTTAAGGGTTACATTAATGGAAGCATGTGCATGTGTCACAATGGTGTAGTCAAACTTCTGATCTTAATGCAGAAAATTGGACAAAAAATGGTAAATGTAGATTGTAGGAAATGAATATTTTCAATAATTACTGCTGTAAATGATTTGCCACTTTAATCGCTTGATAAACTGATTCTTCCATGCATTTACGTTGAGGATGCTAAATAGCAAAGCACACCACACCGTTTACATTTATTTTTTTAACAATGATTGTTCAAGTCATGTTTGTACTTTGTGTTCTCCTATCACATAAAATCCCATCAAAGCACAAAAAAGCTCAAAAGTGGAGGTGTGAATATGTTTGTTAGCTGCTGTCCTTATTTTTTTTCCCTTCCTGTTTCAGTGCGATATGAGAAGATCAAGTTCTTGGTGATTGCGTTGAAGAACGCGGTGGAGGTGTACGCCTGGGCTCCCAAACCCTACCACAAGTTCATGGCCTTCAAGGTTTGTATCATTGAAAAAAACAAAAATAAAATTAATAACCTTTCATTTTGGTTTTATTCTTGGAGTCAAAGATTGAATCTCAAGTGTTTGGTCAGATGAACAACACATCTTTTTTTTTTCCATGTGCTATTATTTGAACTAAAAGTCAGCAGCTAACCACGCTATCCACCGTCATCTTTGTATCCTTTGCGTTGTCAGGGAGACGCCTGGTAGAAAACCTAACAAGGTCACTTCCTCATCCAGAGAACGAGCCTCACACTCGGAGCTGTGTCCCGTTTATTTCTGTCCTCTGGGACCTGAGCCACTTTTTCTCCTGTAGCCTTATAGTTTAACCCTCTCTCCTCAGAAACGTCCAAAAATATACTTTGTGCGAGATGGCATGACCGTCAACGACGGGGCCGTTTTTATCTGCTGCTCAGCTGTTGGTTGGAAAACCATAATTCAAGATGGATTCCTGCTTTTATATCTTTATTCATTCAGTTGTTCTGTTTGTATTCAGTCCTTCAGGTCCCTGCCTCAAAAACCTCTGTCTGTCGACCTGACCGTGGAGGAAGGTCAAAGGTTAAAGGTCATCTATGGCTCATTGTCTGGTTTCCACGCCATCGATGTTGACTCCGGAACGCCGTACGACCTCTACCTGCCTACGCACGTAAGCTCCTGCTCTGTTCCCGACAGCGTTCTGACACGCGCAGCTGTTCATCCCTCCTAAGCTCGTCCACGCTGCGGCACATTAAAACACAAACTATAACTGTTTGTGTTTGTTTTATGTAATAGTCCAATTTGCGTTCTGCCCTCCTCAAACCCAAAATAAACACTTTCATGCAAAGAACAATGGAGAAAATACAAAAAAAAAAACAAAACAAAAAAAAAACGTATTGAATGTTGGTTTGACAACATATTAATTACTTAATACTCAACATACTTTTCAGGGAAATAAAAATTGAAAAACCTTCGTTTTTTTTTCTTTCTTTTAATTTCACTTCAGTTATTTTTGTATTGGTTTACCACGTTAAAATCTTTATAAAATTTATAAAAGGGGTTTTTTGTGAGAAAGTGCCAAAATGTAAATGCATTTACTTTAAACAAAGTAAATGCAGGCTATGTTGGGCAGCAACCAATAATTAGTAATTCAAACTGAAGAGCTGCTTCTCAAACTCTTCTAGAGCTCCAGCTGGACTGGCTGCCTCCTGCTGCTGACATGCTCTGTAAATGCTCCAGATTAGACTTTAGTTAACTATAAATTAAAGGTAGAATACACAAATTCCCCTTAAACATCGAGTGCAGGCGCTGGTGTAAAATTCTGTCATCTAGAAAATGAGAAGGAAATGCCTTTAAGCTCCACACAGTGCAGCCCTGCTGTCAGATAACAGGAACCAGGATCGGTTCTGACCCAACATCCTGGCACTGGTTTGCATTAACTCTGCCCTTGGACTGATGATTGTTGGTGTTGCTTGTTGGATTCTTCCGAGCAGTGATTATATTTCTGCCCCCACCCGTTTTATTTCCATCCCTGCTTTCTGCGTCTCCGGTGTGAATCTCTGGAGAAGTTGTGCTCCACCTCCTACTCACCGTCTACTGATGTTAGTCACTGTTGTTGTTCACTTCTCCTGCTGTCCTCTCTGCTCTCCTCTGCAGCCTGTAGAGCCGTCAGATCCTCCAATACTGCAACCTCTGTGTCTGACATGTTCTATTGCTACAGGTTTTCAACATTCGTCGTTGATAAGCCTGCCACAAAAATCAATAAATCAGTGTAATCGCATTAAAACGAGCGCGATCATTTCCGTTTGGACAGCCGCCATTTTGAGAAACGCCGCAAACATTTGACACCCAATACGAAGTTGTTAGTCTGCACTGCCTTTCCTTCTTGCCTGTTTTCCTTGACTGTTGTGTTTTTTGAAATACGGTTTTGGTTACAGAGACTTCATAATCATTTTTAATTGTTTTGTTTGTTTGGTTTATTTTGGATATTTGAAATAGTTCTATGTTTTTTAGGAATGAAAGTTTGTTTGATCTTTCTCGCGTTATTATTATAGCATTATTATTATATTCGTTACAAAAGGTCTCAAAATGACAATATTGTCGTTTATCACAGTAATTCTTGGGACAATTTATTGTTCAGCAAACTCTGTTGTTGTATCAGACCTAATCACTACCGTCTCCTTCAACACTGGTCATACAGGCTCTAACCAGTCATTATTCCTGACTATGACTGGCCTAATGTCTGTCTAGTTTACATGACATGCAGGGTTTGGTTAACAGTAACCAGTTATGAAGCAGTCTGTGGCTGAAACATGGGAGCCGTTTCAAACTTTAAGAAGCTTTCTCACATTTCTGCAAATCAGTTTGTGTCGAATGTGAACAAAACGCCCACTGCTGGAGAATCACCGCTGGAGAAGCCTCTTTTGTTTTGCCTGTTTTTTTTCCCCATTCCTCTGCTGCATGTGGGCACATAAAGCTGACTGTAGACGATGGTGACTCACGGCTACATTTAGACTCAACACTTCCTATTAAGCATGCTTTTTTTGTTGTTGTTTTAACAACATTTAAAGTCACGCTATAAGGTGAAAGAGGCAGACATTGTTTTGTTAATGGCAGCATGTTCACATCCTTAAAAAGTCCTACATTCATCTATTTAAAAATGAAGGTCTTAAAATGCTTTAAATTCATTTAAAAAATAAAGGTGAGCTCGCAGGCCTTAAACTTTATCTTGGTAGGACTATTTAATCTCATGTTTTCTGTTTGTTGTTGTTTTTTTTTTTTTGTTGTTTTTTTTAGTGAGACTATTTTGACAGGCAAAAGTTTGAGTCACACTCAGATAATATCTTCACTGCATTTTGTGACTCGAGATGGTTCAAGCTACCGCTAACTAGCTACTAATGTTATTGGCATGAGGGCAAAAAGAAGATTCTTTTAGTTTCCGTCCATCCGTATCCGCTCTGTCGCTGTCGGACGTTTCGTTAACAAAACCAAACCTGTAGATCTTGGTGTGATTGATTTGGTGCAGCGCGCCACAGCCAAGGGAAAATAACACAGAAAAACCGTCAAAGAATAACCCAGAACCTTACCTTAACCCCTTCTTACTCTCTGTTGGCTATACTACACACAGACTCGTTGCCGTGGCAACTGACTGAGAACAATACCATTAATGTATTGGGATTGAACACTGAAAAACCTCTCACTCTATTCCCACACAAAGAGTGATGTTTATTTTGCGGTGGTTGATCGGCTAATTTAAACTCCTTCTCTGCTCATGATCTGTCAGACTTGGAGTGTGGGTCACCTTTTTTCTTAACTGAGTTGAATCAAATTCTGCAGCACATCTACATGTCACAGTTGTCAAAGTCAAGCTAGCATAACTGACCTACGTCCCTCGCTATTTTATTTTGATTAAAACCTTTCCAGATCTTGTTATCTAGATGCCATGGTGTTGACTATTAGTAGCAAAGCACTGCGTCTCTTTTCCCTTTGTTACATCACGCATAAAATTAAGACAAGCTGTCGACAAGCTGACGGCTAAAACCAACAGTGGTCATGGTCAGTGGGCAGTTTTTATGGCCTCCAGCAGGGAGATGGAGGTCGGGATGTTGCATTTTATTTTTTGCGTCTATCCTGGGTTGAGTGCAAATGCATTGTCAGGTGGCTGAGCAACGTTTGTACATTTTTGTGCAGACGGAGATCTTCAATTCCATTCGTGACGCTCTTAAAAAGTCTTAAATTTGAGTTGGTGAAACCTGCAGAAACGCTGAATGATGTTGTGGTGAGACCGAGTGGGTGGCTGGCGCATAAAGCAATTTCTCCCGCTTGAATAATGGATTTGAAGTTGCTCTTCATCTCTTTTCCATCCCTCTTCTCTTTGCATCACTGGCATAGATAAATCTCTTGTCTCCTTTAAAGTCTTCTGAAATTATTCAAGAAGTTTTGAGCTAACAAGTTTAGTTTGATGCAGACGAATTACAGTTTTGTTCCTCAGATAAAAGTTTTCTGTTTGAATAGGGGGAAAAAAAAAGGTTGATAAATGACACACTCTGCAACGGCAACATGTGTGCTGCTTGCACCCGATGAGTAGGAGTGGCGTCAGTGAAGGGAGAGAGAAGCTCTAAAAATACACTCGTCCTGTCCTCCTTCTGCCATCATTAACTCTGAGTGTCAGTTCTGACCTGCTCTGGCTCCTGGTGAGACATTTTTCCCCTCTCCCTCCTCTCTGGGTATATTAGGCGAGTCTGCCTACTACTGGTGCCTTAAACTGCTGCTGCAGCTGCAAACGTCATCTCTCTCTCTGACACACTTGCAGAAAAACCTTCACTCTCCCACTTCAGCTTTAAAATCCACTCACTTCCACTTGCTTTTAACACTCTAACAGACTCTTCACACGCCTTCTCCGTAGCTGCGCGGCCATACGCTCTCTTAAACACACACACACATGCACACACACCTCCTGGTATGTGCGCATCCCATTCGCGCCTCCCTGCACCATTCACTCTAAACTGGGGTTTGGGTTTCCTCAGTGCTGTTGATAGAAATTCATCTAATCATCCTGGCACAACAATGACTCACACATTGCCTTCTCTCACCTAAAAAGGCAAACACACACACACACCATATCCACGCACCTGTGGATGTTGGCGGTAAACTATCCAACAATGCTGATTCCGAGACAGAGGATTAAGATTGCGTTGCGCCTGTGGATGCCGGTCCTCATGCTCAGGATTGTGGTGGCTCGCATTCCGGTAACGTATGAAACTTTACCCGCTTCCTGCCGCCAGCTCTGAACGCTGACCGTAACTCTGGAGGGGCTTTTTTTTTTTTTTTTTTAAGTGACACATTGTTCTGTTGTTTTATTTTATCATTATTGTTTTCTTCATTTCTTCATTCTTCTGTTCCTTCTTCCAAAAGGATGGGAGGCGTGATGTTTTATTTAGTGAAAATATGGCACTGATAGGAAGTTAGGAAGATATTTGAGTCTTTTGTTTTCCATCCAATAGGAATTTTTTTTTCTATTTCCCCTCTCCCCCCATTTTTTAGACAAATTAGTCAAATAAAGTTCATATTTCTGAACTGCATATTGTGACCAGGTCAGTAAATTTAGATTTAAACAGATTTTGCTTCTTATATGGTTTAAGAAAATTTCTTGGAATAGCTGCCCATGAACAGAATGAAAGTTTCTAGGATGGTTAGAAAAATGTTTTTGAAGACATAAATAGCATGTGCTTTTAATTAGGGCTGATGTAAAGGATTATTTTAGTAATCGAGTAATTACTCAATCACTAGAGTGTGAAGTGGAAGGAGGATGAAAGGTGAAACTGACCCAGAGCCAGCCATACGGCAACAACAACAAACAGCAACTTTACACAAAATAAAGTTACAATTCAACTGTTTAATAGATAGAAAAGCTGTCAGTAATGTTCTTAGCTTATTGTATTGTGATCAAAATCTGAAGCAGATTCATTGCAAGCTGTAAGAAAAATGTTGGGATTTTTGTGGTCGAGTGGACAAAGCAGGAAGATTTGAGTATTTTTTTTATTAGTATAACGATATGTCCGAGCAACTTCCAAATTAAAATCACATGTGACTTTATGAGAGGGAAATTAAAGGTTTGGAATTAGTTCAGCACTAAATCAGAGGGTGAGGTGAAGTCCTCACAGCTGAGAAATTCAGGGAACTTTTGCAAAGCAACGTGGGTAAACGTCTCCTTTTATCCAAATAAGAGCTACATATCAAATACAGAGACTTATGTGATTAAAATAAGTACATAGATATAACATAGATATAAAGAAACAAAAATAAATCCTTTGTCTTCCTTCTGCTATACCCTGTGGACTATTGCTAAAATAATTTGTAGAAACGATCTTTCAAAAAATAAGAGAATTTTTTTGCCACCTTTTTCTGTATGTTGCTTCAAAACTGTTCCTTTTTTAAAATTATTTTTAAGAATTTTGCTTTTGTGTCTGTTGAACAGATCCAGGGTCCCGTCCATCCTCACGCCATCATCATTTTGCCCAACAAAGCCGGGACCGAGGTCCTGGTTTGCTACGAAGACGAGGGCGTCTACATCGACACATACGGCCGCATCACCAAGGATACGGTGCTGCAGTGGGGCGAGATGCCAACATCTGTCGGTAATCAGAGGCACAGAAAACGTTGTGAGCAAAAACGTGGAAGTGGTTACGTCCTCTGCTGAAGACTCATCTCTGTCCGTCCGTTTTTGTCCAGCCTACCTTCAGTCCAACCAGGTGATGGGGTGGGGAGAAAAGGCAATAGAGTTGAGGTCGGCCAACACGGGGAACCTGGACGGAGTGTTCATGCACAAAAAGGCCCAGAAACTCAAGTTCCTGTGTGAGAGGAATGACAAGGTGAGATGACCAGCAACGTTAACGCGTTAACACGTGCTTTATCTGAAAATTTTTACCTGTTAATATTACAAAACGCACATTAATCAAACTACCTACTTTGACCAGAGAGCCTCTCTCCGGTGGAGGGTTACCTCGTTCACCTCAGGGCGTTATGGGAGAGGCAAACGACGGTGGAAGGCAAAAGTTGAACCTTTTTCAACTGTCTCATGTTGCGCTGCTAGCTCATAGATGTCTAGGTGTACAAGCTCCAAATTTCAAATGTAGGAATTACGCCGTTCACTGGACTTGGTGAGGACCAGAGACTGGCGCCTCGTCACACAAGTTCCACAGGAAACGAATGGAGAGGAGCGTTTCCAAATTGGTTCGAGACACTGTTGGTTCGAGACACTAAAACGTTTTTTTGAAAGCGTGCATACACTGGCAGTTTTTGGTATGGGCAGTTGCCCAGGGCAGCATCAGGAAGGAACGGGGGCACCTAAGAATTAGAAAATTATCTCATTTTATCTGTCAGAACAAGTTTGCTGCTACTTGACTACATCACCTGCTTTCTGCTACAAAAAACAACCAAAAAAGTCAGATAATTGGTTTCATTTAATTGGTTGGATGAAGTCAGGCATAGAGATTATTTATGATTAATCGCAGCGCTACTGTGTGTGATTAATCCGATTAAAATTTTTAATCAATTGACAGCACTAATTTCTTCCCAAATCATAACAGCTTCATACACGGCTTTGAGATCAAACTTAACACGCCACCAAAACTGTTCTCCGTGTTGCAGGTGTTCTTTGCTTCGGTGCAGTCCGGCGGCAGCAGCCAGATCTACTTCATGACGCTCGGACAGAACTCTCTGTTCAGCTGGTAACCGGCGGATCTGCTGACTGCTGGCGTCCGTCTTTTTGATTCTGTGCTCACGCGACGATTAGATTTGTGCTGACCGACGCTGATCTTCAGGATTGAAGGATTATAACCCCAGGTCTATTCGGCCTGATCCCACTTCGACATGATCTTTCTGCTTGAATCCACCGATCGGGCTCCCGCAGCACGAGAGATTCAGAGACAGGTAACTTAATCGCTGCGCCCCCTGTTGGCATGGATTGTTGGTAGGAAGAGTCTAGCTAGCTGCCAGTGCCTTTGTGAGAAAGCAGCGAATCTTTACAGCGTTGCTGTCTCATCAACATGTAGCATAGGAACATCCAATCTTGGAAGTGTAAAAATTTCAGAACACGCGCCTGGACGATTTAAGTTTTTATTTGTCAGATCATTTTTGATTCAGTTAATTGTGCGCCGCCCTGATTTTGTGACGTCTTCTCAAAATACTTTTTTGTTATTATTATTTCTAGATCAGTGCTGCCTGTTTGTAATACCTCAAAGACTTTTATTATTCATCAAGACTTCTAGATAATCCCGATGCGATCAATTTCTATAATTTATTCATCGATACACGACCACACGAACGATGAAGTGTATCCTTTTTATTAGGATTATGACTCCACAATTCACATATGAATCCCTTTATCTGGAGAAAAAAAATACTAACTAACGTGATTGAATTAATTGATGAGCACTTTAAAAAGAAAATCCTTTTAACACCAATGCGCTACGCTCCACTGCGTAGTTTGTGTTAAATTTCTGTCTTCTAGCATTTTCCTATCAGTTTCCATAACTTCTAGTACGAAGTTATTCAGTCCATCCCAGAACTTAAACTCATCCTTTTGTTTCTGCGTACTGAGGACCAAAAACAAAACCGCTTTGAACTTTTGAGATGAAGAAAAGTGACAGCCCCACTGTTGCTTTTTTTGTGTCTATTGTACAGCTTACGATGTACATATTTATCTAAAATGCACTGCTTTCTAAATGTTTTACAAATGCCAAGCCATCTTTATTTACGTGTACAGAAATACAGGCTTATAAATGTGAAATTCAACCTCAGAACAGACTATTTGTGTGTTACTTTTGTGATTTCTGAATGTTTGTGAATATGAGTAAGAGCTACTGACAGTAAAGCTCTTGTTCAGGTTCCACCAACATTTATTAAAGCATAGGTGCTTTAATAATTTTTTTTTTTTTTTTTTTTTAGTTGACTTTCTCCTGATGCGTATAAATCAGGTGTTTTGCACAATAACCATGATACCGGTGTTTGCTCTTATGTATCCTGGTTTGAGACAAATTAATGTTTTCAAAGTAAGATATAGTAAGCCGTTGAAGTTCCTGGTATCCGTTTGCTTTAGATCAGTATTTGTTTTACTGTCAAATATGGCACGTACTAATGTTTCTGACAGGATATTTGTTTGTTTTTGTTGCTTTTGATGCCTTTAATGTACTTCATCCCATCCCCTTAAGATGCAAAGTGTTACGTTTTCAAAGTGTTGTGTCCTGTTGTTTTGATTTCAGGAACAGAAAAAACAAAAAAGGAGATATTTATTGTATTTGTTTTCACTAAGTTTAACTTTAAAAATTGGCAAAGACAACTAGGTGATTTCCCGTTTTGTAAGACAGACTAAGATCAGTTTGAAGAGTATTATAATGTTGTACAGATTTGCTAACCAAATTATCAACCTGAAAACTTGTCCGAGGCCATCGTGCGATGAAAACTTCACCAAAAACGTGTGAATTTTGCATTTGGAAATGTTTCCGTTTTCATTGTGTATACATTCCAGCCTTAGGCTTTGCTTGCGTTGCTTTGTACGTTCCGCTGCTGGTTTTCACTTTAAATTTTGTCAAAATATTGCCAAATATTTTTTGTAGTCATTAATATTTGTCAGTAGATTTAAGTATAAACTTGAAAATGCAGCTGGTTCTGTGAGAATATTGTAACCTCAACAAAAACAGATCTTACTGGGTGTTGAACGTTTATTGCTAACTTTTTATTAAATGTAAAGCATTTGTTTCAGGGGAACAACAAGCATTCCTTCCTAATGTACTCAGATAGTACAAATGAAATGGTAGGTTTGTCAACTCAGTATTTGATGCGTTAGCAAACACAAAGCTAACCATTAGCTAACTTCAGATAAACCTACCAGAGCTAGTTATTAGCTTAACCTTTGGAGCTAACTAACATTTTAAGCTAATGCATGGCTAACATTAAAGCTTGTTGGCTATTAATAACAGAAATGTTGTTTTAGATGAATATTTGTTTTGGTTTATTGTCACAAAACTCCAACTTTTAGGTCCAAGGACACTTAGAAAGGTTGTTGGTGGAAAGAATTAGCAAAAATAAGTTCCAATGGGTTAAATTGGAATTACATACATGAAAATACATCAAATGCAGTTCATGTGATGTTACAATAATTGACCAGTTCCAGTAATTCACATTAGTAAAATATATTTCACCAAATGTATTCATATGGAGGGATTTTATTTAGAAACAAAAAAATGTGCTAACTTGCCGTTGGCTCCAGTTACATCTGCGCAGCTATCAGTCTGTATTCGGCCATGCTGTTGAGTGGTCAGTAAAGAGTCCAGAAATTGAGCTTTGCTCTGAACCAAAACAGTTTCAACCAAGTTTAAATTGCATTGGGCCAGTTGATCAAAAATTGTGTATTAGTGTTAAAATAAAAGAATAGCCTTTCTTTTCAAAGACCTAAACAAACATTGTACAACGACAAGGTAATTTAACTCTGCCGCACTCAAATATGCAACACATCCTGTCATAAGTTTTTACTATATACAAAAATGCAATAACATTCACTTATCATCTTCCCATTAAAACCATAACACTGCAGTAATTTACACTTCAACAGCCAACAGGTGTTTTCTGGCAAAGACAGGTTCCTGCTGGTTTACTGTCATTGGACTGAGCCTGAGAGGAAAAGAAGCAAATTGTTCATGTCTTCACGTACCACCGTTAGTCAAAGTTAGTTTCTTCAGTGCTCTCCGGCTCCGTGTCCCTGTTGCTAGGTCTTTAACACTGTAGCTGGATCACTAATGAGAAACTTTCCTCCCACACCTTCCACTGGTTGGGATCATAACAGATTCAGTTTCAGACCCACAGTGACTCACGTCTCCACCAGTTCTTTATCTCTCAGTCTTCTCCAAACCTTTTATCGTCCCAACACTTTTACTCAAATCAACTCTCTCTAAACTTGATTTCTTTCCTTTTCCCTTTAATTCCTCTAGTTTTTCATCCTGTTCCTTGAAATATTTCTGACATTTTTTCTTCACCAGTTTGCAATTGAACTAACCAAGAACTGTCAGAAACAAAAAAACACAGGTTTTTTTTGCAAACTTTATTGACAAAGGGAATCTTTTCCAATGATGTTAAAGCATCTTATCCAGGCAGGATGCAGAGGAAGAAGGCCTTGTAGTCTTAAGGAATGAAAATCTGCTGAAACGTCATGAGTTGTTGTGTGGGAGAGAGTAAGGTAGACAGGTGGTTAAAATGCAGTAAAACAGAGGGATGGAGGTGAAAGACGTAGCTGGAGGCTCTAGGGAAGTGTTAAGTACCAGATAAAAGGGATGTTTGGTTTTGCTACGGTAGATACGAATCCTCACTTGGAAAAGTTCAAATTAGGTTTCTATGGTTAGAGAGAGGAAATATGCCGTTGAGTAAATGAGTAAATGACAGGAACAGTGAATATACTAAAAACATCTCAAGAGCTTGTTATTGGACCAAAAATAATCCACTGAAATGCAAAATCTCCAAAACACTGATTGTTTATTGACTGTTTTTCTTTTCATCAAAAACTGATTTTGGGCTACATAATTCAAG